GCCAGCTCAGACCTGCTGCTTGAGGCACCTGGCTTTGTGAGTGAGCTCGGGGGTGAGGGTGAACTGGGCCTGGGCGGACCGGTGTCCCCGCCCGTGCCTCCCGCGCTGCCCAACGCGGCCGTGTCGGTCCTGGAGGAGCCACAGAACCGAACCTCAGCCTACAGCCTGGAGCACGCAGACCTGGGCGCCGGCTACTACCGCAAGTACTTTTACAACAAAGGTGAGGGCAGGCCCCGGGCAGGGCGGCGGTCCCTGCCACTGCGGTGCACACAGTAAGACTCGTGAGCTGGCCTTTCCCTGTCAAGTCCCTGGCCAGACAAGGGTTAGGCTCGGCCTCTGGGCCAGGGCTGCTCTGCTGGGCCCAGCGTTAACCCCCTCCCGACGCCAACCCCCGCCTGCACCCACAGCCAGGCACGCCCCTCTGCTTCCATCTGGTTCCGCCTCAGACTCCTCTGGGCTGGGGAGAGATTTCCTATCTACGTCTCGGTGAGGTGAACACTGAGGCCTGAAAACCCCGCAAACCAGAACCTGATTCTTGTCTGTGTCCAGAAGGGAGGGTCCCACACATCCTGGAGAATGTGAGCGTGGTGGGCAGGGTCATGTCAGGGTCTAGGCGAGGAGAAGGCAGGCATTGGCCCCCTGGATCCGAGACAAGGTGTGATAGGTCGGGATGCAGAGAGGAGGGGCTTAGGGCCTGGGGTCTAGGGGCAGGTGCTGGGCTTGGTAGAATGTGGGCGGGTTTCGGAGGGGTGGGCCTTAGTCTAGGGCAACGGTTCTCAACCTGTGGGTCGCGAACAATGAAAATACATCCTGCATATCAGATATTTACATGACGATTCATAACAGTAGCAAAATTACAGTTATGAAGTAGCAACGAAAATAATTTTATGGTTGGGGGTCACCACAACATGAGGAACTGTATTAAAGGGTCGCGGCGTGAGGAAGGTTGAGAACCACTGGTAGGGTCTGCACTAGGTGATGAGTTGGGGCCTAAGAGAGGGATTTGGTGATGGGTGTGGTCCAGCGAGGGCGGACTGCTGGGCGGGCGGCAGGACTAGTCACCCACTGTCTGGGGCCCCCTCAGAACACCAGAACTTCTTCGGACTGGATGAGGTGCTGGGTCCGGTGGCAGTGAGCCTGCGGCGGGAGGAGAAGGAGGGCAGCGGAGGGGGCACTCTGCACAGCTACCGTATCATCGTGCGGACCACGCAGGTGGGCCAGGGTCATGGGGTCAGACGGCGGATGTCATCCTCAACGACCCGTATGTATCCTGAGCGCCCCTCCATTTCCTCCGCAGCTCCGGACCCTCCGTGGCACCATCTCGGAGGAGGTGCTGCCTCCAGGGCCCCCGAGGGGCCTGTCCCCGAGGAAGCTTCTGGAGCATGTGGCGCCCAGGCTGAGCCCCACCTGCCTGCGCCTGGGCTCGGCCTCGCCGAAGGTGCCACGCACACTGCTCACGCTGGACGAGCAAGTGGTGAGTGGCCGGGGTCCCCCCAGCCCTATCCCTAGACCCGGTCTGAACCCAGCCTGCCCAGCTCTCATACACCTAGCCCTGACCTTGATCCTGGACAGGAATGTAACCCCAGCGAAGCTGGCTTTTCAGAGAGGGTAGCAGAGGCCATCTGGAGCCTGGCCTCGATAAATAAGATCTAGACCAGCAGCATCCACATCACCTGGGAGCTTGTTAGAAATGCAGGTACTGGGCCCGGCCCCAGACCTATTGCATGAGAGCAGGTACTTTAAGATCCGATAGATTTGGGAGGGAGTCGGGGTTTAGGAGCTGGGGTGGAAGTGGGGCTGCAGGCGTCGGGGCGGGGGGTGAAATTAAAGTGGGGACTATGGTTAGACAGGATTAGCAGGAAGAAGGGAGGCCAGAGCTGGAGGGAGATGGGTCTTGTTTGTGGGGCCACAGTGCCTTGAGTTGTGCAGTTAACCCCAGATGGAAAGGAGCCGGGAGCACACAGGGAGCAGAGGTGGTATGGGATGCAAGGCCGCCAGAGGCTGGGGTGGGGGTGCTGGGGTTGAGGGAGCAGGGGACGGGCTAGCTTTGAATGAGGAGGATGACAATGTGAATGTATATCGAGATGAGTGCACGGTATTTAGGATCCTTTCCACGAACCATCTCCTCTGTGGACACAGGAGAGCCAACCCCTCCCAGTGCTGTCCCACCTGGGACCTCCTCTACCCTCCTGAGCACTGGGAGCGGACAAACAAAACCCACTTGATGGGCGAGGACACAGATGGCTTAGAGAGGCTGGCGCTCAGGGCTGGGCATCAAGGCAGCCCGGCCTCCAGGCCAGCGTCCCATCCATTCCCCAAGACCCGGAGTGGGGGGACTGGGAGGGACTGAGGCCTGTGTCTTCTGCCTGTGCCTTCCCTGCCCCCCAGCTGAGCTTCCAGCGCAAGGTGGGCATCCTGTACTGCCGGGCGGGCCAGGGCTCGGAAGAGGAGATGTACAACAACCAGGAGGCAGGACCCGCCTTCATGCAGTTCCTCACCCTGCTGGGCGACGTGGTGCGGCTCAAAGGCTTTGAGAGCTACCGGGCCCAGCTGGACACCAAAAGTGAGACCCAGCCCTGGCCAGTTTGGCTCAGTGGGTAGAGCATCAGCCTGTGGGCTGAAGGGTCCCGAGGTTGACTCTGGTCAAGGGCACATACCTCGGTTGCAGGCTCAATCCCCAGCCCTGTTTGGGGCGCGTGTGGGAGGCAACCAATCGATGTTGGGACTCACATCGATGTTTCTCTCTGTCTCTCCCTCTCCCTTCCACTCTCTCTCTTAAAAAAAAAACAAAAAACAATGGAAAAATATCCTCTGAGACCCAGGAAGCTGGGGGTGGCGGGTGGGGGCAGCCCCGTGCTGAGGGGCAGGATGCCTTGGTGAGAACCAACTGTCTTGTCACTTTTCTGTCTCATATTGTCCTAGGGGTGGGGCCAGGAGTGGAGAGTTCCTTGGGTGGCTGGGGACATGGGTCAGGGGCTGCACAGGCAAACCCATGGGCTGGAGGAGGGACTGGGACTGAGCTGGGGCCAAGGTGGTTTGGAGGCACCACCCCCTCCATCAAAGGCACATTCCACTCCTGAGAGCTCCTGCCTCCTAATCAGAAGGGCCCAGCCCTGGGAGGTGTTTTCATTGAGCACCTCCTGCCTGCCTTCCGCTCTCTCACTGCTCCACACATGCTGGTGCCTGGGCCAACATCTGTCCTCCCCTAGGACATCTGTCCTGCCGCCCTCTTAGCAGGCCATTTCTTATTTCTGTCTTCATTCTGTCAACACCCCAACCTGACCCCAGGCTGGAGGCTGGAACCTGTGGGGGTAGGGGAAAGGGAGCCGCCAAGGCTGGAAGCCTCGCGGCCTGGACACGGGCTGGCGGCATGAAGGGGCTGTCCACCTGCTGGGTGGGGGCACCGAGGCTCCTGACTCCGGGCAAGGATGGTCGGCCAGTCCCCCAGACGGCCCTTTCTCCCTGTGTCCCAGCGGATTCCACGGGCACGCACTCGCTGTACACCGTGTACCAGGACCACGAGATCATGTTCCACGTGTCCACGATGCTGCCTTACACCCCCAATAATCAGCAGCAGGTGTGAGGGGCTGGGGTGGGGGTGTCCGGGGCTTCAGGGGAACCAGGGGCGGGTGCTGTGGGGATGGCAATCTTGGAGCCTTGGCTTGAGCTCTGATGACCTCCAACAACCCTCCCCGCTGCTAACGCTCCTCAAAGGTGGCGGATCCACCGGTGCCCAGGCTCTGCCCTGCTCGAGCGAGGAGGGACTTGGGGCAGACAGGTCCCACTCACACCCCCACCATCCTACCCCCAGCTCCTGCGGAAGCGCCACATCGGCAACAACATCGTAACCATCGTGTTCCAGGAGCCAGGCAGCAAGCCCTTCTGCCCCACCACCATCCGCTCACACTTCCAGCACGTGTTCCTGGTGGTGCGGGCACAGGCGCCCTGCACTGCGCACACCTCCTACAGGTGGGTGCCCCGGTGCCCAGCTCTGCCCGGGACAGGCCTCCCTGGATCCTTCCTGTGGCCCCTGACTACCGTCTTCCTCCCCGTAGGGTGGCCGTGAGCCGCACCCAGGACACCCCAGCCTTTGGTCCGGTTCTGCCCCTAGGTGGAGGCCCTTTCCCGGCCAATGCCGACTTCCGGGCCTTCCTGCTGGCCAAGGCGCTCAATGGGGAGCAGGCGGCGGGCCACGCACGCCAGTTCCACACCATGGCCACGCGCACGCGCCAGCAGTACCTGCAGGACCTGGCCACCAATGAGGTGA